GCCTGCCTCTGCCTCCCAAGTGCTGGGATTAAAGGTGTGTGCCACCACACCCAGCTATTTATTTTTATTTTATGTGTATGAGTGTATTGTCTGCATGTATGTGAGTGCACCCGTGTCATGCCATGCTGCGGAGGTCAGAAGAGGGCTTTGGGTTCCCCTGGAACTGGAGTTAAGGACGGTTTGTGGCCACCATGTGGGTGCTGGGAATCGAACCCAGGTCCTCTGCAAGAGCAGCCAGTGCTCTTAACCTCTGAGCCATCTCTCCAGCCCCGACACTACATATTTATATCCCATTTATACTCCTGACGAGAGAGGAGTGGGAATTTGAGAGCACAGGCCTGTTCTACAGAATAGTTATAGAGGCAAGTGGAACCAAAATGATACCTGTTCCTTCCGGTAGCAAGCAGGTAACAGGTGTTCCTTACATAATTTATGCCTCTTGTCTCAACATTATTAGAGACCCACTTATTTCTATTAAAGGGCCTATATGAAACTTGTAAAGTTACAAACGAATACTATACTGTTGGCCATCAGTAACTCTCCACCTACTTTCCCATGTATAAAGGCCCCTCTAGCCATCTCCCAAGGCTCCCCCTAAACCTTAATTTCAGTACACGTTCAGCACTCATCAGAAAACAGTAAGAAACCCTAAGAACATTTTTTTCTTTGACTTGCTTTAGGCGAAAGGAGTAGCACTTCACTGTCACGGTGTGAAGTTTACAGCACAGTCTCCGTATGTAGGCTTTCTATGAAAACCAAACCAGGATTCCAGGGTGACCATCACCCCAGCTCAGACCCAATGGTCTAGAACAATAGTTGATTCCATTTAAAGAGTATTTCCTTCATGCCAGGTGTGGTTCTCAGCCCTTCACGTGTTAGTCTATTTTATAAGTGAGGAAATTAAGGCACGGTCAAAATAAGTACTTAGCTGACCACTCAGAGCAATTAAAACATAAGCTGAGGGTCAGAACCAGGCAATTTGACTTTTTTTTTTTTTTTTCAACAGTCTGCTAAAACCTTCCCCTATTGATCTCCCAATTTGACTGTAGAGTCTGAACACTACAAATTTCTCAAACTACATTGAGGCCCACTAGTGTGTAGTAAAACCAGCGTTGGCAGTCTCAACTGGCCATATTTTTTAGGTCCATAGAATAAAGGTAAAGTATCAGCATATCACAGGTAAGTACTTGTTTTGTAACTTTTGGTCATAAAATACAAAAACTTGCTATAAGATCTGACTAAAAAGTTAGACCGTGCTGTGCTCAGAGTGGTCTCCAACTCCAACTAGAATCAGACAGCCAGGAGCTCAACGTCAGCTCTCCTACTGACCAGCAGATTGAGTGTGGCAAATTACTTGATCTGTCCACCCACAGTGCCACGTCATCCTTTTTTTTTTCTAAAGTATTTTATTTCATTTGCTGGGCATGGTGGCGCACACCTTTAATTCTGGCACTCGGGAGGCAGAGGCAGGCGGATCTCTGTGAGTTTGAGGCCAGCCTGGTCTGCATAGTGAGTTCCAGGACAGCTGGAGCTACAGGGAGACCCTGTATCAAAAAGACGAAAAAAAAAAACCAAAAGTATTTTATTTCATTTTATGTGTATGAGTGTTTTGCCTGCCTATATATAAAGCTTGTCCATGCAGTGCCCACAGAGGTATCAGAGTCCCTAGAACCAGAGTTACAGACTTGCTAGCCATCATGTGGGTGCTAGAAACTGAACCCAGGTCCTCGGCAAGAGTAGCCAGTGCTGGGGCTGGAGAGATGGCTCGGTGGTTAAGAACACTGGTTGTTTTTGCAGAAGACCTGGGTTCGAATCCCAACACCTACATGGCAGCTAACAACTGTCCATAACTCCAGTCCCAGGGGACCTGACAGCACCTCCTGTCCTCTGCCGGCATTGCACAACACAGGTGCACTTACCTACATGCAGGTAATACATGCATACACATAAAAATAATAAAATTTAAAGATTTTTTAAAAAAATTGTCAAACTTTAGTCACTCAAAAAAGTTATAGTTAGCATTAATAAAGAATAGAGGCACATGAGAATGCTTTCATCAGGGCCAGATCCTAGATGCCCCATGGAGAGTGCTAAAGTTGACCCGCATCCACTCCTCTTCTTCCAGGGAGGTCTCCTGCTGGGAGCAACAGGAGCATGTTTGTGATGTCTGAGGGGCTCTGCGCAGTCAGTGCAGTCAGTGCCTGGATGCTTTATCTGCTTCGTCCTACTAATTTTTTTTCTTTTTGAGACAGGGTCTCCCCTGTAGCCCCAGCTGGCCTGGAATTCACTATATAGACCAGGCTGGCCTCAAACCCACAGAGATCCACCTGCCTCTGCCTCCCAAGGCATGCACCACCACACCCAGCCCCCATCATTCTTTTAAACAAAAGAATATATTTAAAGTTATCTGATAAGAAACTCTGACTTCTAAAAGAACCAATGGGATTATTCTACTTGAACTATTGTAGATTCTGTTTTTTTTAAAGGGGGCTTTCCTGTCATGAGTAGGAGAACAGAGACCCAAGAAGTGCAGGCAGAGTGGTCTTTAAAAGATCAAAATGTCTTTCTGTTGGCTGAGATGGCTCACCCTCACACAGATGTGAACACAGCCCCCAGGGAAGTGCCTGCAGTGCCATGGGCACAGGGCTACTGTAACTGCCAGTGACAGTGGCTGGCTGTTCACTTACTACTACCACTGTTCACTTTCACTACCACTGTGTCCCTGTGGTAACTGAAGAGAAGCCAGTGGAACACTATATGCTGCTAGGAAATCCTGTCACATTCCAGCCTGCAGCCTGCCAGAGGATGCTCGGGACACTTATAAACTATAAATCCACAACCATTACATAACCATTAACATCTAGTCCCATGTTCTTGCTCACAGCCACATTAGACTGTGTTCCTTATACAGGGGACTTGATCTCACCCTAGACCTTGAGTCTTCTTGCTCCTAGAGCACTTTTTGCCTAGACCTTCCCCCACCATGAAAAAGAGCAACACCTCCTCCATCTCTAGAACATCATCTAATGGATTTCTTTTCTGACACTTAGCAAATCTCATGATTATTGAACAGAATCCTTTGGTTTGGTTTGAGACAAAAGTCTCACTAGATAGCTCAAGCTCATCAAGTTCTATGTAGCCCAGCCTGGCCACCAACCTATGTTCCTCTGGTCTCAATCTTTGCAATGCTATGATTATAGGTGTGCACTACCACACCCAGGTCCTGTCAATCTTGACAATGTACTCTCGATTGTACCAGGGTGAGCAAAAACCTTAGGTATGTCATCAAGCTACTTGCACTAAAGATTTCTCTGGATGAAGGAAAATTCTCTATTTTCTCATAACTTGTGATGCTACAGAAAGTGAGAGTACTCTGGAACAAATTTTAGAAAAAGTGAAAAATCCTTTTTTATCCTTATCTCCTATTCCTAAGTAATTCCTAGTCAGAAGTGATTCAGGAGTCCTACTAAAGGCCACTCAACATAAAAATGTCTTATGGAAACATATGGATTTTACTGATCCCTAACCTCTGTATACTCAGGCAAGACTCCAGCTGCATGGACTCTATGATCACATCACCTATCAATATACATGACTAAGACATGAATTGTGCACAAGCTTTGGAGTCAGCCTCACCAAGTAATTTCACCTCCTTGTTCCTTCACGGTTTCAATGATATGTGAAGCTATCACCCACCTACATCATGGGGTACCCGAGAAATCAGCTGAAAGGGCACAAACCACTTAGCCCAGCAAGCACTTGGAGCACAGGAAATACAGAATGGTTGTCATCAAAAACATAACTCAGTGGTTAAGAGCACTGACTGCTCTTGCAGAAGACCCGGGTTTGATTCCCAGCACCCACATGGCAGCTATGAACCATCCTTGACTCCAGTTCCAGGGGAATCTGAAGCCCTCTCTGACCCATTGCACGGCATTGCACGACATGGGTGCACTCACGTACATGCAGGCAATACACTCTTACACATAAATAATAATAATAAAAAAACATAACTCAGTTCTTTGTTCTTGGCCAAACCACTTTAATTTACAACATCAATGTACATATATGAAGTTCATAATTGCTTGAAATTCCTCACCTTGCTCCTGTAGGAAAAGAAAAGTGGAAAACTTTAAGAACTCTTAAATTTACTAATCCAAATCTATAATCTTCCTTTTCTAATTGTTCAAGCATTTACTGAACTCTATGAATAGCCTTGTGGAGGATAAAAGCAAAATCATCCTTTCTAGTCCAGTCATTAGAGCAAAATGTTAGCGCAGGACTGGAGAAACGACTCAGGAGTTAAGAATGCCTGCTGCTCTTCCAGAGCACCCAAGTTTGGTTCCCAGCACCCACTTCGGGCACCTCACAACTACCTGTAACTTCAGCTCTAAATCTGACACCATTTTCTGACCTCCATGGGCACCTGGACACATGACATACACATAATAAACTTTTAAAATATTAATGCAATGTGTGAGAATACAGCAGAATTTGTAGGAACATAGGAATAGGTTAGTGTTGCCCACCACAAAAAGATCTCAGAATAGCAGGGGAAAGGGAGGCTGCTGGGCCCTGGGAACTTTTACAGTACAGAGGCAAAGCTAGAGGCCCGTCTTATTCCAGGACCCAGCTCAAAACTGGACTTTTTGGTTTTTAACTATTTTAATAGTTTTATATTTTTTATTTATTATTTTTATTTTATGTGTATGAGTGTATTGTCTGCATGTATGTGAGTGCACCTGTGTCATGCAATGCTGCAGAAGTCAGAAGAGGGCTTCGCATTCCCCTGGAACTGGAATTAAGCGTGGTTTGTAGCAGCCATGTGGGTGCTGGGAATCGAACCCGGGTCCTCTGCCAGAGCAGTCAGTGCTCTTAACCACTGAGCCATTGCTCCAGCCCCCAATATTTTTATTTTTTTTTTATGGGTATGAGTATGTTGCCTGCATGTATGTAAGTGCACCTGTGTCATGCAATGCTCACGGAGGTCAGAAGAGGGCATCAGATCCCCTGGAACTGGACTTACAGACCATTGTTAGCCACCATGTGGGTGTTGAGAGCCAGTGCTCTTAATCTCTGAGCCATCTCTCCAGCCCCCCCCCCCCTTTTTTTTTGAGATAGGGTCTCATGTAGCCCAAGATGGCCTCACTACTCTTTGTACCAATCTAGCCTCATCTGCTCCTCTTGCCTCCACCTTCCAAGTGCTGGGACTGTAGATTACAGTCCTGGGCCAGCCATGCTTGGCCTTTATTTTATTTATTTATTTGTTGTTGTTGCTGCTGCTAGCAGCTGAATCGGCCCTCCTTATACAGAATTAGTCTTTATTCATGAATGAATGGGGCTTTAAAATGTAGTCTAATTTAGGAAAAATTAATCTTTTAAAATATATAATAAAAAGGAAAACGCAGGCTAGCAAATTTGACAAGACATGAGTGACTGCTTCTTCACGCTATTGGGATATGCAGTTTAAGATTATCAAAGGTACAAAACCCAAATGCACATGTTTAGGTCAGAATTTAAAACAAGGCTTTAAGGCATACTTACTTTTAAATAGCTGAGCTTATACTTTCAGTCCTCATCATCAGGAGGAATTCCTAGTTCTTCATCTGTCCACTGGGAAGGATCTGGATACGGAAAGTGACCCTGTAACAACCAGTCAAAAAGAAAAAGTCAAGAGTCTACACTAATAAATGTAACTAATTAAATTACACCAGCTTCTTAGAAGAAAAAAACAATAATGTAATGACACTGCACCTGACACACCCGAAGCACAAATTCTCCCTTAACTATTTAATGACCCAACTCTTTTTTTTTTCAATCTACTCACTACACATGGAGGCCTGAATTTTCTTTTTGTTCTTTGTCTTGAGACAGAGTCTCACTATGTAGCCTAGGCTGGCCTTGAACTGCCTGCTTCTGCCTCCAGTGCTAGGATTAAAAGTACACCACTAGGCTGGGCGTGGTGGCACACGCCTTTAATCCCAGCACTCAGGAGGCAGAGGCAGGTGGATCTCTGTGAGTTCAAGGCCAGCCTGGTCTACATAGTTCCAGGACAGCTGTGGCTACAGGGAGACCCTGTCTCAAAAAGACCAAAAAAAAAAAAAAAAAAAAAAGTGTACCACCATGCCCAGCCAAGGTGACCTGAATTTTCAAAACCTCTCTATTTTAGCAGCAGCAGCCTAAGCCATTAAGTATGATTATGATGGCAAGTAGGGAGAAGTGGAGTCTAGCCTCAAATCAGTTTACTGAATAGACTATTTAAATTGATTTTTTTTCTATCCAGTAAACAAACCCAAATTTACCAAAATTCAAAGTGTCCATCCTTATGTTTTGGGGGCTGGGGTGGAACCCAGGGGCTCATTCTTGTTAGGCACATGTTCAACCACCAAGCTCCAGCTAGATGTCAATGTCTTAAAGATGTAATTTCCTAGAAAAAAAGACTATGAAATGCCAGGAATGGTGCACACCTTTAATCCCTACTCTCGGGAGGCAGAGGTGGGCAGATCTCTATGAGTTCAAAGCCAGTCTGGTCTACATAGTGAGTTCCAGGACAGCTGGGGCTACAGGGAGACCCTGTCTCAAAAAGACCAAGAAAAAAAAAAGACTATGCGAATATGAAAATGGGACAGGTACTCAAAGGCTAATAGAATGTTAAAGAGTCACCAATAACTTCTCAAGGCAAATTACATCTGCTCCACCCAAATCTGGTGGCCCTGGGCCTCCAGACAGACTACAGGATATTAAGAATAAAGCTGTGTGTGATGGTGCCTGCCTATAATCCCAGCACTTGGGAGTACAGGCAGGAGGATTGGGAGTTAAAGGTCAGTCCTGCCTACATTGTAAATTTGAGGACAGCCTAGGCTACCTGATACCTGTTCTCAAACAAAAAAAAAAAAAAAATTTAAGGGTAAGGTTTAACCCACAAAAGATAAACTTAACTCAGCAATCAGAAAAGATTTTTAGTCTCCCAAACACAGCAACCAAACAAACTATAGATCACAGATCCCCTAAATGCACATCATCCCATAATCAGGTTCAGAGGTAACAAGTATCATTAGGTAACATACATGATGGTAAAAGGAAAGACCCAGGCTAAAAAATGGTCTATAAACACCAAACAAACTAGGCCAATCGTGTATTTTCCCTCCCCTGCCCTCAAAAAAAGGACAAAGAACCATCCTCCTGCTTACCAGCACAGCGTCCGAGTCATGCCAAAAGCGCCAGAGAATCCAGAACCACATTAACGAGCTTAAGAACTCACCACGGATCACCTGGGATCTGGTCAGCTGGGGAAACTGTCTGTACCGGGGCGTGATATGCACATCACCACCAGCACTAGGAGACAAAGCAACAAGGAAAATGTCTTGCTGCATTTTCAAAGCAGAAAGTCAGCCCAAACTTTCAGTTCCATCCTTAAAGCCAAAACTAGCATTTCTCATCTCCTCCACCAGACAGAATGACAAGGTCCCGTTTCCTAGACATACTGGTTTCTCAGCAAGCTTGCCTTAAACATGGAGCAGAGAAACTGGCCACAACTAACAAAAGGCTGATTTATGGACAAAGTGAATATTCATTCTGCACCAGAAATATTAGTATGTGTTGATTATGGGGTGCTTCCCCAAGAGTTTGGTTAAGAGACTGTAGATCATTAACTTACCCTCCTCCTCCAAAAGAAATAAAAATAAAAATTATTTTTGTTCTGTTATCTACTTTAGAAATAACGTGCAATCTCTGCCCTGTTACAATTTTTTTGTGTGTGTATCTGTGTGTGTGCCACATGGGTACAGATGCTAAAGGAGGCCAGAAGATGGTATTGGATCCCCTGGAGCTGGGGTCATGGGCAGTTGTGAGCTGCCCACTGTGGGAGTGCTGGGGACGGAATTCAGGTCCTCTGGAAGGGCTCTTAACAGCTGAGCCATCTCCCCAGCACCTACAATCTTTATTAAAAGACCATCACATAGGTTAGCCGGGCGTGGTGGCGCACGCCTTTAATCCCAGCACTCGGGAGGCAGAGGCAGGCGGATCTCGGATCTCTGTGAGTTCAAGGCCAGCCTGGTCTACATAGTGAGCTCCAGGACAGCTGGGGCTACAGGGAGACCCTGTCTCAAAAAGACCAAAAAAAAAAAAAAAGACCATCACATAGAAGCCAGGTATGGTGGTACAAGAATTCAAGGCCAACCTGGCCTATATGAAACTCTGTCTCAAGAAACCAAAAAGACTATCATGTGGGAAAGAAAACCTGAGAAAATCCTTCCTAATCATCTAACATCTCTGAGCAAAACCAAGAAACTTTGAGTAAGTTTGAGTAAAATCTGCTGGGTTTGGGCTTTCATTTAAACACTGACAAGTTGTAGCACACAGTCTTTAAGAGGTATAGTTCTTTTATTCAATTGAACTATAGGTTGGCTCCAATTTAAATAATGTAATGTGTATTTAATGAGACTACTTCTATATCCTATTCAGCAATCCATATGCTAATGCACAGAATCAGTTACACAAATTCTACATAAAATATGTTCTACAGTTTCAGTCTAGCACAGCAAAAGTGCATAAAATAACCTGTAGATTCCTGTAGAATTTATAAATGAATTTATAAATATTCCTATGGTTCTTTTTTTTTTTTTTTTTTTAAAAAATTTCTCTCACTTCCCCTAGAGGAAGGTATCCAGTATCCTGTTCTACCACACTCCATCTTAATCCCTTCAGACAAGATCTCTCACTGAACCTGGAGCTAGCTGGTTCCTCCTGTCTCCACCTTCCACAGCACTGGGGGTTATAGGTACAAACAGCCACTCCTGGCTTTTCCTGTGGGTTCTGGGATTTGAATTCAGATCCTCAATGTTTGTGCAACATGAAACCATCTCTCCAGCCTGTGATTCTTGACATGTTACTTAGGAGTGTTTTTATTATCCTCTCCTACTCTAAAAGATTGTTGGGCAGGTATTTATTGAATATTTACCATGTGCAGGTACCATACCAGACATAAAATGTTAATTATAAAATAACCATGCTCTATTAGCTTAATTTTTACAACAACATTATGAGACAGATTCTGTAATTTTTGTTTCACAAATGTGACATGTAATTTTGATGATAAATCCCAAGATCTTTTTTTAAATATTTTACTTATTTTTATTTTATGAGTGTATTGTCTGCATATGTGTAAGTGCACCCATGTTGCACAATGCCCACAGAGCTCAGAAGGTGTCAGATCCCCTGGAACTGGAGTTATGAATAGTTGTTAGCCACCAGTGGGTACTGGGAACCAAACCCAGGTCCCCTGCAAGAGCAGCCAGTGCTCTTAACTGCTGAGCCAGCTCTCTAGCCCCCCAAGATCTTATGTTGCAAAAACATTGATAGTTTTTGTATTGTTTTCATTTTATGAAGCAAAGACATAACTTTTGTGCTGGGGTTGTATCTCAAAGGTACTTGCCTAACATGGGTTCAGTCCCCAGCACCACAAAAACCAAAGACTTAATCCTTAATCAGAATTCAAATCAACATAAATCTTTCCACTAATGATAAAATTCCACTTTTGTGTAAATATTTACCCAACCTCTAGCACTTATTTATAGACAGGGTCCCCCTATGTAGCCCAGGCCTCAAACTCAAGATCCCCTGCCAAAACCTCCCAAGTGCTGGAGTTACAGCATGTTTACATATTCCTCTTCTTTTTTTTTTTTTTTTTTTTTTTGGTCTTTTTGAGACAGGGTCTCCCTGTAGCCCCAGCTGACCTGGAACTTGCTATGTAGACCAGGCTGGCCTCAAACTCAGAGATGTTCCTGCCTCTGCTTGTGGAGTGCTGGGACTAAAGGCGTACCACTACCCTGGGCTACATATTCCTTTTAAGAGGATCTATCCAGCATCACTACTTTACAACTTAAAGAATACAGCCTAACAGTTTCTGTAGTGTCCTCACATGCCCACTGTATTTTAACAGTGGTTACTCAGGATCTATCTGTGCATATCAATACTGCATTATATAAACAAGTCATGCTAGATAATACCTGTAACAACAGACCTCCTCTTTCATAGGCTTTAGCTACAACCTAGGTATATGGGTGGTGTATCAGTAAAATGCATTAAAATAAGCTTTGCTTAATGCTAGGATTATAGTTCAGTCCCATCCTGGGGCCACAGGGAGACCCTGTCTCAAAAAGACCAAAAAAAAAAGGGGTGGGGGTGGCTGGAGATGGCTCAGCAGTTAAGAACACTGGTTGTTCTTTCAGAAGACCCGGGTTCAAATCCCAAGTGATTGTGGACTTTAGAATGTTGCAGGTCTAAAGCCTAATTACCATTATCATGGGCCATCTTTAGCCCCCTGCCACTTTTTGTCCACCTGTTTCTGACTTAACATCTTGTGACTAATACATTAAAACCTTTGGTGGTACATTCCTTTAATCCCAGCACTCTGGAGGGAGAGGCAGATAGATCTCTCTGAGACTGAGGCTAGCCTGCTCTACATAGTAAGTTCCAGGACAGCTGGAGCTACAGGGAGACCCTGTCCCAAAAAGACCAAAAAATTAATTAATTAATTAATTAAAAATTTAATTTAATTTTAAAATGCCAAAAAAAGCCATGGTAGTGTACGCTGTACTCCCAGCACTCGGGAGGCAGAGGCAGGCAGATCTCTGTGAGTTCAAGGTCAGCCTGGTCTACATAGTAAGTTCCAGGTCAGCTGGAGCTATAGGGAGACTGCCTCAATAAGACAAAAAAAAAAAAGTGACATTTTATTTATACATACTTATTTATTTTTGGTCTTTTTGAGACAGTTTTCCCATAGCCCCCACTGGCATAGACCAGGCTGGCCTTGAAGTCACAAAGATCCACGGGCCTCTGCCTCCCAAGTGCTGGTATTAAAGGCATGCACCACTACACCTGGTCTACAAGAGTGACATTTTATTTTTTATATATATACCCTTTTTTTTTTTCATTTTTGTGTATGAGTGTATTGCCTGCATGTATGTAAGTGCATCCGTGTCATCCAATGTCTGCAAAGGTCAGAAGAGGACGCTGGATCCCCTGGAACTGGAGTTAAGGACAGTTAGTTGGCTGCCATGTAGGTGCTGGCAATCAAACTCGGGTCCTGTGCAAGAGCAGCCAGTGCTCTTAACTGCTGAGTCCCTCTCCAATGACATTTTAACTATGACCTGAAATAGGTGAGTCATTGATTGCAAGGTAGAAATCTTCGGGTTGGAGAGATGGCTCAGCAGTTAAAGGCATTGGATTCTTTTCCAGAAGACCTGGGTTCAGTTCCCCAGACCTACACGGCAGCTAACAACCATCTGTAACTCCAGTTCCAGGTTTGTGTTCTCTCCTGGCACTGCACTACATAGAAAGATTCAGACTTTCACCCAAGGCAAGCGGTCTATTAGACCCTTGAATCAAACTGTAGCCCCACTGATAAAACAATGTAGAAAGGAACCCGATTTGTTGCTAAAAGCCAAACCGTGGGTTAGGTTTGCACCCAAACTTATATCACCTAGGCTGGACCTATGTGATCCAAAACTGCAAGCCAAAGGCTGAGGATGTAGCCTAGCTGCAGAGCGCTTCCCCAGTTGAGAATAAGGAGAACAATCTTAACGTGATCTTGGACTGAGGACATCTTCAAGAGGATATGAGAATTAAGACCTCAACTAATTCCGACAGATAAAACTTCGTGAGGTAAACGAGCTCAGTCAAAAAATACAACAAAAGACACTAATGTGGGGAGAAAACAAAAGGGGGAAGAAATAGCATCTAACGAAATAATGGCTGTTCCGACTCGGATTTAAAGAGCTAAGTTTAAAAAACAAAAATTCGAGGGTCGGCTCTCGGAGCTGGCTCCCGTCCCGGCTCCCGCCAAAAAATAA